TATACAATGACTCAGTATATTCCTTCCGTCTTCTTTTGATACTTCCTGGATCATTTAATATTCTGCCCGAAGCATCCTTGATTACAGCAACTCTAGGTTTTAATCTGTTCTTCAGTTCCTTGAGCTTAAGAAATGCTGAGCGAGTTCGGCCCTTTTGATTTTCTGACTCTAGTTCCTCCCCTTTCCCCCCTAAAAACAAGCAAAATATAATCACAGAATATTAAAACTGGAACAGAGCTTATGATCTAAGGCTTCCTTCCTCATAAGCTCCTATACCCTTCAAACTGATCCAGCCAAATTATCTAAAACCACATAAAAAGTCAAGGAAATGAAGGATTTCTAGACAAAAGTTGTATCATCATAGCCACATAATACCAAAATGAAGGAGAATTCAGAGCTTCCAAAACTCTCTCATCTTTGCAACTCTAAGGTGGTATATTTTTATGCCTACCTGACAAATGTTAAGCAAGGTTACATCACCTGCATATAGTAGGTTGTTGATATGCAAATAATACAACCTTGCTTGCTGAAACTGAAGACCTGAAGCACTTGCTGCAGAAGGTCAAGGACTTCAGACTTCAATATGGGTTGAAGATCAACATCAAGAAGACAAAGACTCTCACCACTGGGCCATTTCAATTGGCAGCACCATGATGGATGGTGAAGGGACTGAGGTTGTTAACAATTATAGCTCGCTCAGCTCCATAATCAACACTCTTAACACCAGCAGTCAGGAAATCAAAAGACTAATTGCACTGGGAAAATCTGCAGTCAGAAATCTCTCCAGAGTACTGAAAAGCAACAATTTCAGTCTAGAAACTAAAGAGTGCCAATCCAGGCCCTGGTCTTTACAATTACTAGTTTTGCTTCAGGAAGCTGTACAATAACTAAGGATAACAGAAGAAGAATCGATGACTTTAAATTGCAGTCCTGGAGAAGAGTCTTGAAAATACCATGGATCATCAAGAAAACCAATAGGTCTGTTTTGGAGAGGCTAGGATTTTGAAACTCCGTCTCACATACTTTGGGCACATGGCCAGGAGAGACCCATCGTTGGAGAAGGACATCATGCTTGGAAGGGTGGAAGGATAGCTCAGCAGAGAAAAACCCCAGGTGAGATGGATTGATACAGTAACTGGGGCAATGGGGGTTGGTGTGTCGTAATTACTGAGACTGGCTAAGGACAAGAAATGATTCAGAGCTGCTGTACATAAAGCTGCTATGGGTCACAGGCAACTTGATGGCACATAACAAAAATAAGAACAAATCTGGCAAATTAGTACAATAACCCAGCAGAGTGGCTTAACAAAGCTAGCACTGAAACCCTGCAATCTATATCACAGATTGTTGTCATTTTATACTATTAAGTCAAAATCAACCCATAACTGACTCATCAGCTGGTTTACAAGGGCAGTAAATCCCATGGGAGGAGACTACTCATCTTTCTCCCTGGAGCATCTGGTGGATTAGATCATACCTTTGCACTGGCATCGCAATTCCTTATAACTAAGGCATCCCTTTAGATTAGGATGAGAAATTTCCAGGAAGTCATGTTGACAAGAAGAAATGCCCCATGAAAATTTAGCCCCCAAAAATACAGCAATAATTCCTATTCTTCTTAGCAATTACCTCCTAAAGGGACAATTTAGGGGGGGAAAATATTTTTTCAAGGTCACAAAACATCAAAAATAACCAAGGACAGATGGTAAAACCAAACCAAAATGTTATTCTACTCAGATTATCAATGAATAAACAGTACTACAACTTCAAAGAGTAAGAGGGGATAAGAGAAGTTTGAGGAAATGAAGTCACACTCAAATGTCTTCTGATCTCATTTCAAGCCAAGCTATGATCTCAGTGATGGTGGGTAAAAAGCCTGACATGGTACAAGAATGACAACATACCCCCTTTTTCATAAATAATTTCTGCTAGTGGAAAATGGAAAAAAAATTAATAAAATCACTGCTGGGATTCATCAGGACACCTTGTTGTTGTTGTTGTTGTTATGTGCTGTCGAGTCATTTGCGA